GAGATATATCGTGGCTTGAATTAAAGTATGTTGGGTTCTAATGTTTTTAAACACCAGATGTTTGGGTACAATTTTTTTTTAAATTGAAGATTTAAAAAAATGGTAGCAAACATTTCGATCCATCTTCTTCAGTGTTTTAATGAAAAATTACATAAAATTACAAAAAAAATCATGATTTATGAAGAATATATATAAGAAAAGTAGCGCTACATAGATATTCAAAGAGAAGTGGAAGTGGCAGCTAAGTATCAGTCAGTATTACGTGAGAGAACGCAAAACGTCCTCCCGCTTCTCGAATGCAACTGACAGACTAAAAATAAATTGCAACAAAAAAAGGTTTTAATACAAAACGATCTCGAGATTTCTCAATTAAACGTCTAATTATTTATGTCATTTACGTTTCTATTTCAGATAATTAAGTTCCAAATATACAAATTGAATTCCTTCATTGTTCGAAAAACATTTTATAACTCTCTTTTCTGTATAAAAGTTGAGCCATTGTGTCAGTGTACGATATGCTACCTCATAACAAAGAGAATCAACTTCCGCTCGAGCAGCAGTTGCATAGACAAAATGTAATGCATTTTGTATCTTTTTTTTGTCCCCGCTTCTCCTTTTTACCAACCACGCTAGCTAAGTTCTTTTTGTCTTGGTCGCAGCAAAGAAGCCTAGAGCGGCCTTGTTTCTTGTTTCTATATTTCTGTAGTACACAAGACGCGCATGAATTCATCTTTTATTCATAGTCAGTACGGGATACGCCGAGGTTATATGCGGTTCGTGACAGCGACAGAGAATTTTGCATAAGTGGTCTTAGATTTTGCAACTTTCGTATCGTCCCGAACAAAAATCCTGCCAGTAACTTATCACTCAAAATGAAGAATAGTAAGAACTTCTTTTATACGCACATATATTGGATATATGTATACATATGTCCTGTATATTCATCAAGTTTTAATGCCGCTCCTCTGTGACTCTCAACCTTTCAAAATAAAAATTCTCTTCCATTCAAGTAAAAAATTAAATAAGGGCTCTGCAATAATTAATCAAAATTTGAGAAAGAAAGAGATCATAAAGAAGCACGGTAAGTTTGAAGTATTATACGCAAATAAAAAAAAAAGAAAAAAAAACAAAAAAGAATGAATAAACGATGAATTGAAATATTCGCAAAATTCTTCTAGTGAACGTTGATATTTTAATTAAAGTTTTCTCTGTGAGATTCCACAGTCGATATAATTTAATTTGTGTGAAAGGACGGAAGATCGGAAAAAAATTATTAAGTGGACTAAAAATTAAGACTCTTCTCTCATAATCTTATTAAAATGAACAAAAAGAGTTTCTTGTAGAAAAACGATGAAGCTGAAAACACAAATCGTTGTCGCTATCGTTATAAGTATTTGCAGGAACACCGGCAATGCGTAAAGTAGAGAGAAGGAAAGACAAATAAAAAGAAAGAGAGAAAAAGAGAGAGAGAGAGAGAGAGAGAGAGAAAGAGAGGGCGAGAAAAGATCTGAAATATTCTCTCTGTAAGTAAATTACAACCTGAGGTCTTTGCACTCCAAGACCAGCGGAGCTGTAAAATCCAGGAATCAAAGGAAGAAGAGTAAACCTTCCGGGGTCGCATAAACATGCCCGCTTTCCCGAGAACAGGTCTTCCATCCGTTTATAGCGGTTGCGGGGTCTTAACATGAACAAGCGGATGGTATCGATTTCTGACAAATATTGAAACGTAATTTTCGATTTACGTTGGAGCAAACATCTTCCCGGAATTTGTGGAAAACCAACATGGTGACTATGTAAAAAAAAACTCGATTGTTAGATCTTAGAAATGCAATGTATAAAATAACAATACGAAAAATTTTTAAAATATATTAGAGATTCTTGAAAAATAATAGAAAAATTATTTTTCTATTATTTATTTAATCAAACATAAGCACGTAACAATAAGATTTACCGTTCCGAGTACATCAAAGAAGTTGCACCTTGGTGCACAGAAAGCGGGAGTGGCTGGTGTATGAGTTCCGATATCGCGTCGGAAACGGTCGAAATAGGGCGGCTAAAAGTCGCGCGTTTTCAAACGACACGAAGCAACTCACGTGTCGGAAAACGCGCATTTAAAGTCGGTTTACGTCTCATTCACGTCGCGATGTCGATATGAAAAAAGCCGTAAGTTGGAATTTCATGGAAACGCTCGTTGCGCCTGTCGCGTATAGAGAGAACCGTCTGTCGACTCTCACGGAATTCCATCCCGATTTCTGAAGCATCGGAGAGAAGAATGTCTCCATCACCTCGATCGCGAATGTACATATAACCCGGATTGCCCTTTCAGTCTTTTCTTACCTTTTTTCAGAGTAAAAAAATAAAAAAAAGAGAGAGAAAGTACATTCATGTGGCATCTGGCACGGCGTCAGTTTACCATTAAAAAAAAAAAAAAAAAAGAGACGTCTGCTAAAACATTTTAAAATATTTCCGAGAAGTAAGAAACTTCGATTTCGCGTGGTCGTGATTGAGACAACAAAAAAATCTTCGCGTTCACGTCGAAATATAAACAGAGTTGACTGACACAATGCGGAAACGTGAGCTCAAAATTTTTCAACGAGAAAACTAAGATGATAATGTACAAAAAAAATTTATTTACATTTAGTTGTTTAAACACTTACATTAGACAGAGATTTGGATAATCTCATTGGATCCTCTATAAGTAATACATAATAAAACTGATAATGAATACAGAATCAATATGCAAACAACAAAAAAGACATTGTTATTTAAAAACAAAAAAAGAGTAAAGATACACGAAAAAACGTGAGAGAAGTTATCTCAGAGAACCCATCCATACGAAATTCTAACTCGCGATATTGCGGCGGATATCGATCTTTTAGGATGTTGTCAATTAATGCTTTTGGATTTGGTGGTGCAAGATCTGTCAGAGAATGATGTAGAAACAGTTTCGAAACGCGAAACTCGGATGCATTCGTTGTTCGCGCAGATTGCTCACCGATTCTTCCCTCGCGCGAATGATACCATACTAAATAAGACAAAAAGCATGTGCAGCACTGCGCAGTGCACCGCGCTTGTAAACTAGGGCAATTTGCCAACGACTGTGGTATTAAAGTATACGCGGCAAAAGCCGCAAAAAAAAAAAAAAGAGAACAAACACAACCAGCAACTCTTCCGCGCAACAATACTCTACCTATCATTTATACTTGCAAGCGTGGCGCATTCGCTTGTGCTTTCGGTACCGCGTGCCGTATGCGAGTATTCGGAACGTGTGCATGTTTGCATGGTTATACGCAGAACCTATATCTCCGTAAGGGATGGAATACCTGTTTGCGCATTCAATCGCAAACTCGACAAATCGGAAGCTTGAAGTTTCACAAACAGTTATTAAAAACGGGTACACGCATCGAGCCTAAGTACAAAATGAACCAGCGATTATTAGTCCCGTGTGCTTTTTTCTTTTGTTTTGTTCTTTGAGTAGCGAATATCGAAATTTCGTATCTATTGTCTCTTTCTGTAGTTTTATTTTCTTTTATTTTTTTTTTTTTTTTTGTATCCTAAAAATAAACTTTCTATTTTTACAAACTTTTTCCATAAAAATAATGTAATCTACACCGCGCTGCTTGTGTAAATATGTATTTTTATATATTTACATTAAATTTGTATGCACACACATACAAATTTTAACATTGATTTTGCTACGATATGCAATAAAAATATTTTGTTCGATTGTTTTCCGCAACTACACCAGTTTTTTTTCACGACACAAAACAAACTGAAAACTAAAAGACGGTAAACGAAAAAATCGAAACTGAAACTTACCGTGAATTTCATTATTTTGGTGAATATTGTGTTTTGTTTTTATTTTGTTTGCACTTTGTATTTTTTATTTCTTCATTTACTTAAGAATAAGGTTTATATCGATAAGATCGTATAGTTTCTTATTGAATAGAGTATAGAGAACTGCGAGAGATGTGCGGAAGTATGTCGTGAGATCGCCATGTGATGGCAAGTGAGCCACGTGGCGATGTCATGTAGCGTGTTGCGTAATTTATTTTCAAAGCGCAAGCTAAGATAAGGTACGTACGAAAACACATAGAAACGGTATCATCGACATGCGACATGTATAGACACAACACAGCCACAACGATTTATATTTTATCCTCGAGGATACCGTCACTGAAGAAAGTTGTTTCTTTCGGAAAACATCTTAGATGTTTTAAATCTTATCTCTTTTCATGTGTCATCCGTGTGTCAAGTCAACAGTTTTCGTTTAAATGGTTTCAGTTGCTATATGACACAAAAAGCGAACATATTAGAAACATGCTCTTTTCTTTACGGATCACTCGCGTTTTGGCATGTGCGCGATAGGAAACGGAAATTAAATGAAAATCGTTTGAACCTGTCCGTAAAACGGAAATGAAAATCTAGAAAATCTGGCGTGAATAGAGGAGAGACTGCTACTGCTGCTGATGCTGCTGCTGCTGCTGCCGCTGCTGGTGGTGCTGGTGCTGTTGCGTTGAAACGAGCAGAGAAGTGACACGAGAAGAATCGGGCGGGAAATGCTGATTATTAATATTTCAATATACGTCCAGAAGAGAGCTAATTTCCGGATCTAAAATTATTCGCTTCTCTCTCCCCCTCTCTCTCTTTCTTTTACTCTTGCGCATTTTAATTGATTATACTATTCATATTTAATGAAGAATAATCGTTTTTTCCACGGTCTTTACTCGACAAATTGAAAAAGAATATTATTTCTGCTCATCGTTGCAACACATTGCAAGCTATGCACGATCAATTAATATGATAATATAAATACAGTTTTTTTCTTCAAATGTTAAAGTGCAACTTTTTTCGAATCAAAAGAAGAATTGTTGAAAAAAAGTTTTTAATTACATCTGATATTTCATGTTATATATTTAATTTAATTTATATATATATATATATATATATATATATATATATATATATATAATGTGCGAAATATATACATATATACTTACGGTTCCGGCACCAGGATCGGTAATTTTGCAGGGCAAAACTGCCATGCTGCCACTTTGAGCAAGTACCTCTCCAATAGGTCCGTCAGGAACATCTTCTTTTTTACTCTCCACGGCATTCAATGGGGCGATTACATTATTGGCACTTGAGTTCTGCTGATGCTTGGCCTGGCTCACTGCGAACATAAATTACAACAATGCTTTCTGAAGATAGGAAACCATTTCGTTCGATTTACAGCAACACCTGCGTGCGACATATCGTATCAAAACAGTTAGATACTGTTGAAAGTTTTTTTTCCTACAATATGAAAACGTGAGTTTTGTTTCTTTTTTTTATTTTTTATTAAAGATCTAGAGTTTGTAAAGTGGAAGCGAAAACTTTCTCGAATATTTAAATCGCGTGATAATTAACGGAAACTGCAATGAAATGTAGGAAATTACTTCTCGCGCCGCGTTATGCGGAAAGTTTACCGCGCTCATAATGGTTGTCCCTGCAGTCCGCGTTAGCTCTAAGGTTCTGGCTATGATCAAGGATTAGAAGCGATTTCCATGGCCACTCTCCATGGTTGACGAAGAGCGCGACTGCGAGAGACGACGAAGCCGCCCTTCCCACTCGTAGATTAACGTAGCCGCGATCGCGATGATAACGCATATATAACCCGAGCGTCATCCGAGTGGCTTAAGTGAATAACTTAGTCATGGCAATTACTACTGGGCGCCGATTCGGCCGGGCGTTTATCGACGCCCAAGATGCGCCAAACCCAACGGCGAACTTCCGTGAATATTCTCGCTCTTTGTCTATCTCGTGACTTGTCATTTACCTGTGTGTTTTGCTTGACGGTTCCGATTGTTTATTCATTCTCTGCACATCTCGGACTCTCTCAAAAGAAAATCCTCTCTTCCAAACGCGTGAACATCTCGCTGGCAAATATACAGAAAAGTTTCTATTTCTGTTCGACGAGTTGGAAGCTCAAAAACTTGGCGCGTAGTACTGACGATGCGCAAAGTTCGCTTTTAAAACGCGGCGATGTACATACGCGCCGCTAGTACGCTCACGGCTAGTATATATTTCGGTTGTGTCAGATGTTTTTCTTTTTTTGTTTTTTTTAGCGTCCGCGAATCTAACTTTTGCTCGCTTCGTTCTCGCTCGAGTTCGTCGCGACAAACAAATGCATTTTTAAGAAAACTTAAGTAATTATATTAATTTTATAAGATCAAGATAACACACAAGAATTTGTTTCAAAATAAAATACAAACGATTCAATGCAATATTGTTTTTGTTCGACAAATAACAAACAACGATAGGAGATTTATATCTTTTCTACTTAATTTATACGCGGATTATTTGTCACGAATAATAGAATCTCCAACACAACACTCCAAAAAAAAAAAAAATCAATAATACAACTTCAGACTTTTTTATACAATCATTGTTTATCATTTAGAGAAAGTAATTTAAGTTATATATCAGTCATCATTGTTGACGTTATAGCTAAGAAAAGATCGTTTTGGTTTTCTTCTTTCTGTTACTCTCGTGCGGATTGTAGAGTGTAAGAAAGGACCTACAAGGACAATTTTAGGTGGACTCCGAACCACCGGAAGTGCACCATAAAAACACTTCGAATTCAAAGGATCTTGTAACAGAGATACATCTCGGTGAGCTATTCAGTTTTTATCAGAGAGAGAGCGACCTGCAAAAATCCGAACAAATTTTTGCCCGGATTCGAACCTGGGATATCTTGGTTACTGGTCCCGCACAAACCAACTTAACTACAGGTCGCTCTTCTTTGAAAAAGCTAAATCATAAAGACTGCGTTCGGAGAGCACGCTATCTGCGTTATTCCACCATTCTATCTTTATCGCTCATTACGGATGTAAAACAAAGATATAATGACGCAATAATGCAGATAGCGCGCTCCTCGAAACGCAGTCATAATATCTAATGTTCTCGTGTGTGTACGTGCGGCTACATTTACAGCTGATAACATAAGAGAACCGTCACAGAACCGGTCGATGCTGTTCAACGTCCCACTTGAATTTCCTCGTCGATGTGAATTAACGTCGTTGCCACACCGTCGACATACGGTTTTCCAAAGTGATTATTCGCTGGAAATTCTCACGGGAAAAATAGCCGAATTCTCTGTAGGTAGGAAATAATAAAACAGAGAAACGAACAAAACGAACGACACTCTGAGGGATCATCAGCGCGCGCGGATATTTGCCAGAAATTATCAAAATTTTTTATGCCTCAAATATTGTTATACGCATGACGTACACGCACGTTGTAATTTTAACAAAAAAATACATATGAGATCAAGAAAAAGTGGTGTTTTACAACGTTAAAAATAAGATATTTTATATATGTGTAAATTAATATTGTTTTGTTGTTAAAATACGTAAACGTGAAAATTAATAATCAATAGCGCAATAGAAATTGTCACTAAAAAAATAGAAGAAATCTCGTTGTGTAAAAAGTACAACTGTATTTTTCGCGTTCGCATATTTAATTAAAAATAACTGAGCGCGTGATTAAATATTCGCTAGGAATCAGAGATTGTACTATTTTCCTTGAAAATATCTCTTTCCAACGGTAAAATGTCTAGAATAACGCAACTAGAAAAATATTTCATTACAATGATGGGAGACCGAATAGAAATGCTCGATATTGAAATACGGTTCTCGGTAAGAAAAAGAATACGTATTATAGAAATATGAACGTACTCCAGCAAGAAATGATTAACGCGCTTAAGTAGGATGCTACGTTGCAATCTCTCAAACGCTTGTCTTTAAGATTCGAGTTGTCTCGAGCGAAGGGACAAAGTGTAAAACCGGCGTGGCAATCGCACTGCAATTTTCTAAATTGAATTTACCGGTGATTAGTGCTCGCACGTACATCGGAAGATTAATCTGGCACAATTTCAGAAAGTTTGCCGAATCGGAAATCGTAAAACGGCCCGGTAATAGGGGCCGGTGTGCATTTAATTAAACTTTCAATTAGATCTAAAGCTTCGGAGGTGTTACGACGACGACCTAAATTTTCACTACCGCGTTGTCCGGGAAACGAGACGTTCTGCGAATTTTCCCGCTGGAACACTTGTGTCGACGGACGAGTTTCGATGTCTCTCGAGAAGAGAAAGCGTCGCCGCCGCGCGCATAAAAAGAACATCGTCGAACAAAATCGTTGGGCGATCGACTCGGTCGCAAAACGCGCGTGTCGAAAAGTTCGACACGCTAACAGGGCGAGGATACGCTCGCCAGTTTTCAGCTCTACGTACGATAAACGGAAATTACTTGTCGGCTTGCGAATTAAGTGTTTTCCATGCCGGCACGAAAATAACTCGCTCCAAACGCGGGGAGAAACTCCGCTGGCGTGCCGTGGACACGCGCTGGAAACGCCCGCGTTTCTTCCGGCGGCATCATTACCGTTGGAAATTGTATGCCGCTCGTGAAGCGAATGCCGACGAAGCGCGCGCCGGAAGGAAATTAGGGACAAAATTATTTAGGCTGCAAGAGAGTTGCTACTTAAACACGCGATTTGCATGATGCAGAAATTCGAATGAGCCTCGGTCTTTCCGCCGCAATTTCTAATTCTATTAATGTGTATCTATAATCCCCATGAAAGTTTCAAAATTTCTGTTCGCCTGACGCGACAAACTTAAATTACGTAAAATCCACGTTAGCTGAAGAAGTCGAAATGTAAACAACAATGACTTTATTATTTCAAACAAGTCTTTCTTAATGCAAAAAAGTTTCAACGATAAAATATAATAAAATAATAATAAAATTTTATCTATAACAATTGCGATTTTTGCATTTTCAATTCACTGTTAATAAAATCTTAAATCTCACATAGCTCTCTCTATCTCATTTATTCAAACTTACCTGTGAAGTACAAATTTACTTCGAGTAGAATGCCCACCACAATCCAAAGCGTTCTCATGATTGATCGATGTACTTTTCTTCAAACATGCATTCTCTTTTTGAAGTACCTGGAATCAAAACAAATATACAAAAATTATTAAGTTTTGTTTTTTTTTCAAAAACCAGAATATAAATAGTATTTATTCTGCTGAGAAACTTTTAAAAGTTCAAAATACACACCGCGCTACGGTACCTAATGCAAAACTTCAGATTTTTTGTTGCAAGGCGCGTTTGCATTTTGTGTAAATCCGCAAAAAATAAATACAAATATAAAAGCGCTTTGCAACATCAAGATCTTTTGATAAAAGTTTCGCCAGTCTAACATAAAGTGCTATCTTCTGTCTTAGATTTCTTCGCGCGACACTTGGCACTTGGTTCACCTTCACAAAACCATATGCACTCTGGACGAAAAAAAAAAAAAAAAATTGCGCCCAAAGGCGCGGTGAGAGTACTGGCAGAGTATGTTTCAGAAAACTACGCACAAGCGGCTTCTAACGTAGATATTAACTACTTTCGTCGAGTAAAAGGAGCTAGCTTTTTTTACGAGATACGTGCGGGTTTTCTCAACGCTTGTTGGCACGCGGATGTAAACGTTTTTTTTTTTGTGTGCCTCGTCGAGATCAATGCGCTTTGGGCTCTTGTCCAGTTCTGATTATTTACACGTCAGCGCACTATTCTTTTAATATATTTCATCCCTTCTTATATATACAATCTGTGTGAATATAAACATACATATAAAATACATGTAAAAAGTAAAGAGAATAAATAAAATAATGAAATTAATAGAGAAGAACCCAATCACAAAAAGAAATGTGTGCACATGTGTTTAGAGTTGAAATATTTTTAAGAAACTCAACTTATTTTAAAGAAAAATCTCTGAAAAGAAATTTCAGAGATATACGAAACTCTAAAATTGCTAAAAATTAAAACTGCGAACGTAGGTAACTGCTCTCTTTTCTTTCTAAAACTACCAAAGTTAGTGGAAACAGTTTACGACAGAAGAGACATCTAGCGACGAGAAACTCCGAGGAAACGCTGAGCGTGTTTCCGCTGGAATAAAAAAACTAATGATACAACAGATGGAAAAGTAGCTCTTGAAGATGGAAATTCGCGATCACGCGGGAGATACGGCGCAGTGAGTTACGTCGAGTAAAAACATCGAAAGAGTACTCGATGTATCTTTGGAACGCGAAACAATGGTTGAACGAGCGTGATAATATTTCGCTGATGAATATCAAAGAGAATTTCTGCCGGTCTATAAATAAATATTCGGCCGGAATATTATTTGTACTGCGAATTTTCACGAGAAAATTCTATCTCGATTTCATTTTTGAAGTAGAAAAACTTCAAAGACGGTTTTCGAACACAAACGCATAATTGCCGCTCGAAAATCGTTATACACAAAGTTATTTGTAAAAAGAGATAAATATAACGTCAACTACACATCCCGCATAAAACAAAAGCTTAAAATATTGCAATCGTTATTTAGATTTTTTTATCTACTGAGTTTCCGTTCTTGATAAACTTTTTTTTTTGTAACAGATACATTTATGATCTTTTTTGACAAGAGATATATATCAGTTTTACCTAGAAACTAAGATATTTATTGTACATGTATATATACAGGATATCTAAAAAATTTCGACGAAGTTGAAGTGTGAAGATAGAAGTGGGGATCAATCTAAAAAAGTCAGTTTATTATTTTACAAAATTTGCATTATTTATTGAGTCATTAATTAATTAATACAAGTCATTGAGCGCATCATTGAGCGAGGAAGCGATGATCTGTAGGAGTGTATAATTTTCACAGTTGTAAACAATAGTTTATCTCGTGATGCAATCTCCTAACAACAAAAATACAAAATAAACAAGCTATAAGAATCGTCACTAAATAATAACAAATATTTATTTTGTTTATGTAAAAAAATATTTCTATCATTAGGTTGCACTTCCACAATATTTTCACAATATTTACAATAATTTCAATTACAATATGTACATACAAGATATGTTTATAAAATATACGTATTTGTGACAATGCAATGATGTTACACTCACGATTACAATGTTTAAAACCTACCGACATGATTTCTGATTTATAACTGAAATTATTTTTATTTATAACTGCTGCTGGAATTTTGTTTGAGAACGACTTTTATAGACTTGGTATTGGCAGGAAAAAAATGCTTTATTGGAACTATTTAAAGATATCAATGATTTATGCACACAGAAAATAAATAGCTCGTATATTTCTATCTTCGGAAATGTCATAAGATAACGTGAACGTTCTAGGACAATTATTATATGATTGCCGGAAATGCCATAAGATGAATGTTCTAAAGTTCAACGGTCACATGAGGCAACGTGTATTCCGCGGTCACAAGCAATCTGTGACATAGTTTGATTTTTACAACTGAAAATCATACGTGCCTGCAGAATCTGTATCATCGCTTTCTACGCGCTCATTGGCTTACATTCCTTTTAATTAATACCTCAACAAATATTGCGAATTTTGCGAAATTACTTTTTTGTTCAGATTGACCCAAACTACCTTCACTTCGGTTTTGTCAAAATTTTTCGAACACTCTGTACGTATCTGTATGTATCTAAATAAAGTAGATTTATATTTTTTGCGATTTGACATCGCGTCAACAAATTAACTGCTCTCATTTTTTATAGTCAGAAATTTATACAGTGCGCGCACAGCGTTTCGTATAAAAAGATGATCAAAAAATAATGTAAGTTGTGGCAAATAAGTTTCCGGTTACTTCTCGGTCGACGTTTTATAAATCGCGCGCTTCCCTTTTTCCAGAGACAAGAAGATCTCGGTAATTCCGAACGCGATACGCAGCGCTAAATCTATATTGGATTTGCAGCAAGAACGGAGACTCACAGAGGTTCTCTAATTCACGAGAGGTATTCGATATTCGCGTTTTTCTCGCCGCGAGGCAGAACCCGCGATACATTACGTTTCTCGCAAGTTGTGATTCGACCATTCGTAAACCAGCCACGAACGCCATATGTTCCCTCGGTCGGCACATGTGTTAGAATTTTCAAAGCGAGCGTCCGCGCACCTTGTATTTCCCAACTGACAAGCGGGAAATATTTCGAAGCTTTCTATATTTGACTGAATTTTCTGTGACGTCATGACGTGCGCATATAATCTCTCTTTCTCTCTCTCTCTCTATATATATATATATATATATATATTTCACATAATTAATTACCAGTATAATCAATCATTTCTGTATTTTATTTAATTTATGAAAATACTTTAAATTAGTGAACTTCAATTAACAAATATTATACACAGTAAAAAATCGTGCGTCAAAATGTAGAACTTTTCCTGTGTTACGACGTTTTGATTATTACTTCAATGTAAATTTAACATAATACTGATACATTATTATTTTTTTAACCTTTTCGCGTGTTAAATTTATGTTAACTTCACAAATTAACATTTTTTGCATGTCATTTAAAACTGGAATATTGTTTAAGTGCTTTCAACACAATGATTTCAAGTAATCTAGATGTCTTAAAGTCAATTTAACATACTAAAAAAAGTTAAAAAAAAATCTTTGGTCACATTGTACAAACTAAAATGTTTTATTAACATTTCTTACGAGTTACTGTAACTACTGTTTTGTGTAGTTTTTAATTATTTTATACGTTATTTTTACATCACGCTTATATACAGTCAAAATAACAAATATAAATGTAAAGTAGTGTGTCAATTATTTGACTTTACTTAGTTTGTCAATAAGTAACTCACAACGAATGAGTTATTTTAACTTAAAATTTAGAATGGACCTTTTGGGACATGTAAAAAAATGTTAAAATTAACATTTTCGTTTTTACTGTGTAATTTTAACTTATTACTTTTGTTGCGCGCGTTAATTAGTTTCTTTTATAACGCGCGAAACAAAAGAAAATTAACGTCTGCTGAGAGCGCAAAGACAAATGTTCTCCTCGTATCATTCATGAAACTCGCAAAGTTTCAATGTCGAGCGACCGCGTTCTACCATTCGCATGCGTGTTCCGGTTACAACGCGCCACTTGCAGACAAATGGATGCGCTACACATAGTTTATTTCCTTTCATACTAAGAGGATCATTATTCAAACGAGTTTAACGAGCACGAAAATGTACCCGTCCCTAATCGATAAGAGATTCGCGGAACGCGCGACATCCTTCGTCCTTCCACCCTCCTTTTTCATACCGAAGGATGTAAGTACAACGAAGTTAGTCACGCGAGAGCTCCGCAGCGGATCGGAAATATCTTATAAATTCCGTCGTCCACAACAATCTTTCGTTTCGAAATAAGCGAATACTCGTTTCTGCGCGCGCGCGCAGACATTTAAATATTTAACAGGACGTCCAAAAGCAATCGCGTGTTGAAACTAACCGTGGCGCATCGCGCGTGATTATTCTAGTTCCCGAACGCATATTTACATGTAACGACATGTCGATCCCACGACGGCTAGTCAACAAACGTTGTGATGAATATCGACTTCGAGTATATACGCGCTTCGTGTCCGCGCCTATTTGGAGAAGATCTATTGCCGAAACTGATTGGAATTATATATATATATATATATACCAAAGTTTTGATCGATTTGTTAGCATTAATCTCACTTTAAAAAACTCCCACACACACATTCGCGAAATAAATATTTTACACGCGGAAGAGAGAACAACAGTAATAGAACACGCACCTGCAATTTTGCAAGCGTATACACCTGTGGTTTTAAACCCGTACGTACGTTTCACAGGAAAAACGTTTTTACATCCAAGCTCGTGTGTCAAAGGCGCCGCCAAAGAAACTTTTATCGTCGCGATGAAAGATGGGAAAACAGATACGTGCGCCACCGTCTTTCTTCGATGATCGATAGTTTAAATGACAATGTTAGCGGCAAAGTTCAACAATCGCTTTGATGAAAAAGCGTGTATTTACAAGAACAGAGAAATACGCGGAAGAAGACAACTTATCGCCGGCTTCTTTTGCGCGCGTCGCAGCATTTGTACATATGGTACAATATATTGTATATATATACGCGACAGGAATTGGC